CAAAACACGATTGTGTGACTCTTTCACGACTAGACCCTTCCAACGGTCTGTTCCGCACTTGTACTTTTCAAACAACGTTGGTAAGTGTTGAACGTCGCCGATGCAGTACTCAATAAGCTCTGCCGGAAGCGGTCGTATGTTGAGGACACTGTAAGAGCCTCCCTTTTGAGGGTTCCAGAGCTTTTCTCCTTTCTCCTTGCTACGCCTCCACTGATCCCTTTCAGGTCCATATAAAGATTCTTCAATACACTTTGCAAGGCCACTTAAGAACTTCCTAGAGTTCGTGGTTCTCCTACGAGCATTCTCCATAAGCTGAACATCTCGAACGCCATCCAATTTGATGTTATAGTGGAAATGTAGTGCATCTGAATCGTTTCGGACGTCGAAGAAGACCTTGATAAATTTTGATGATTCCAGAATATCCTTCAAGCTTTTTCCGCTGCCCCCGACTGTCGAGAAGGCTAGATTTCCCAGGTTATGGATGTCGATGATATGGGGACGCGCCAGAAATTGTGAAGGATAGACCAAGATTGTCAAGAGTGAAAGCTTCCCATCCCGGCCAAGGCGTTCTCCCTCGGCGTCGATATAAAGTGGGGGTTGAATGTCTCCAAGCCACGTATCCTGGAGTGATATCCAGTCAACGAGGTCGGATACACCTTGCTGAGTGTCAACAAAAACCGTATCTTTCATTTTCAATGCTTCGATGAATCACTGACCGCCTGAGAAAAGGGTAGTCCATACTTATAAGACAAGTGGCCATAGTAATGAAGCAACAACCCAGATTATAGTTACAGACAAAATGATATGATGTAATGAGAGATAAAAATAGATTCGTCCAAGCCACTGAAACTTGACTAGGAGTGATGCAATCTAACGCTCACCGAGTGCACTACGTACGTATCAGAATTCAGCTGAAGCTTGTTTTTTTGATAAGACATGCATATCAAGTTTTGAAGGGCATTGGATGAAGACTTCCCAACCAGGCCAGCTAATAAGCATTAATAAAGCCTTTGTAACTCTGGACCCATCTGCAAATGCCAAAACACTACGCTAATCCTATGAAGGAGGAGATCTGTTATCTAAGGCTAGAAAAACACCTTGGCAGTATTCCAAGCCATGGGCTGTTACACTGAACTTAGTTAGGCATCTGTATCAGCCCGATACAGGCCGTTATGATATTCCCTGTGTCTATTCTTTACCATTATCATGCACGTTACGTGAATTCAGCCTGCATTATATAATGCTGACGTGGTGCAGCGTCATAGAATGCGGGGTACCCACGACCATCAACAACCCACACCAGTGGGTCTGGCTGCCTTGTCAAATCCGCCATCTCGTAATAGCGACAAGTGATTAAAAACCAGCATGGAAAATCCAAAAGATATCCAGACGAACACAGTTGTCGAAATTGCTCCAGATGGCGACCTTTTTCTGATAATCGGACCGGAAGAGACAAAACTCCGTGTCCGTTCTATGTTGTTGGTGGCAGCCTCGAAACCCTTCTCAGTCATGCTCGGGCCAAACTGGAAGGAGGGTCATGATATGCGCGGTCGCGATGGGCCATTCGAGTTATCGTTGCTTGATGACAATGCTGCTGCATTAAAAATTATCTGTTCCATTATTCACCATCGGAACAGAGAAGTACCTCGAACCCTCGCCGCTGGCGATGTCCTCGCAGTTGCCGTCGCTGCAGACAAGTATGATTGCGTTGATGTTCTAAAGTTTGCAAGCGAAACCTGGCTTCGAAACTCTAGAGATGAAGCTGGCAATTTAATGCTTCTCACTGCCGCGGCATACCTCTTCCAGAATGCACAAGCATTCAAGGAGATCACTAGAGCATTGGTACTTGACTATTATGGTCCTTGTCTTGCTCTCTCCTGGGATGAAGCTGAATCTGCTATACCGTGGAGGGTATTCTGTAAGTGCCCCGATAATTGCTTGGGCATATAACTGACGGGATAAATGAACAGGTTTGCTGGACGAGCAGAGAGGTTTCGCAAGGCTAAGGCTAGCAGAAATTCTCATAGCAGGAGTAAACGATGGGACTGGGTTCTGTTGTCACAACTGTGGATGGACAAGCAAATATGCGTATGCATATATAGAGTTGTTAGAAAGAAAAGATCTTTGGCCAGTAGATTTATTTCATACCTCTATCTCCAAGGCATTCGAGATAGCAGAAAGGATGCCAGATCCAATCCCTGCGGAACAAAGTACTGGATGCAAGTATGAGTATAAGCATGCCGCCCCAGAATATAGGAAAGATCGTCGTCGGGGTCTTGATATGTTGAGCTACATCCTTATTGTCCGTTCCATTTTCACTAAAAGAGAAAATTCTATATCTCTCATTGGCTTATACCCCTGCTAGTTCCTTTTTCACTGAAAGAGGGACAGTGTTTTCGATCCCCCGCCGGTTTTTTGATTAAAAGTGCGTGATAAACCTTCTCATTGGCTGGTTCGTTCCTTCGTCGCAGCCTTCGCAGCCAGCTTTGGTGGCGCAAAGCGATATTACCTCCTGAGCGCCTAGTAGTCAATAACAATAGGAACTCTAGTAGAGTTGTTCTGCACCCAAAGGCAATATTATTACATTTAAAACATTTTATTCTTGAATTACTTTCTATATGATATTTGAATTTATTTTAATCATGCTATTCAGGTAACTCAGAGGTCCAGCAAGTAGCAAATAATCCCATTTATACACAGAGCCCCGGTCCCATGCCAACCAGAGCAGTTATACAGCATTTATAACTGCTCTAGGTAGAGATAGACTGTCGCCCAAGCTGAGTTTATCGATGTCTGCCGATGGCAAGGTGATCGAGTTGGCCAAACCTCGACTCGCTCAATGCACCTCGGCAAGATTCTCTTATATCTCCGAAATTAAGGCAGGTCCAGGAATAGGGACGATGCTTGGACGTTGCGGCTTCATCCTCTGCGCTTCGTCGCAAGTTAGAGCCAACTGATTAGGCTGGCAATTTTTCTCGGCAGCGATCTTCTTTAGGTTCGAAACAGTGCACTTTGTGGCTGTCAAGAGAGCATGATCAGTGAAATATACCGGGAACTCTTTACTGGGGGCTGGAGGTCTGTTACTCCGTGACTGGAAGAGGTGCGTTTTGCCATGAGTAGCTGCTGTTGGAACTCAGATGCTGGCGATATTTGGGACGATTCATGCCGGCGTATCCGATAGTTGTATGAGAATCGGGGCCTTCGATTACTTTTACGAGAGCAGAACAGTGACAGGGAAGGATGGTATTCTGATAAAGTCAATTAGATTGATTCGAATCCGAGGGAATTGGACTTCAGATTCAAGACTACGTTCGATCACGTAAGGGCTTGTCGAAATTCAGAATGGCTCCTGCGTTGATCGGGCTCTTGGTGCGATAAAGGACGAGAATGATGTTATAACGGAGGGAGAACGATGCACTCGCTACGAATTTTTTGGATCATGTGAGAGGATCGGGGACAAACATTGGTACTTGTCAGTTTCAGATAGAGTATAGAATATGATAGTATCCTGAAACGGGACACAAACCACATAGGTATGAGATATTAAGATCCAACCATTTAGCAAAACGAAGCACAGGGAAGATAGAAAGTCCCATCCACATTGAAGTTTCCCATGCTATAACGGAGAGATTAGCTGAGCACACATAATACACTTCTGACGGAGTCTATTTTCAGTCATCCATAGTCGGAGGAGTTGGATATGTATATTTAAAGAGAACGGCCTTCAATGACTCAGCCAGACCTTCATCCAATCGAGCGGACATTGCTTTCTTGAATTTCCGCCTCACCATCACCCTCGTTAACAACTCGACTTTGTTGTCTTCGCTGAATCGTGGATCATCAAATTCCGGTCGCTTATGGGTATTGGTACTGAGAATCGACGATTCCATAGATGCAGCGAGTTTCTCAATCTCATGTATTCCTAATTCTTGGTCAGCTTAACGACCTCTTAGTGGTATATTATAATTAGATATTTTTACCGCAGTCTTTTATAGAGCCTTGAATATCGTTACTTTGCATATCCTCGGGGTCAATAAGAGGTATCAGGTCTCACGTACCAGGCAGCTTGAGGGCAAAGTTCCATGTAATAAAATAACTTTCAAGTGCTTCCATCCGGGATGTTGCGTAGCACCATCTATCGAGCTCGGGGTTCTGCTTCATGTTGATATCATTCTCGACGGTGGAGTATATAAGATGATTAAGTCTATCTCTTCGGACAATAGTTTGAACTGTGAACTCGCGATGCAATTCGTTAGCCACTTGCTGTAACGATACTGATTGCTAAATACCTTTGCTGAAAATGTCCTCTGGGCCTTCTCGGAAGTTTGGGTTGGTGAAGAGTTCCACCAACGGCTGAACAGTGATAAAAATGTTTTCTGGGTTCAATAGCATAATTCGTACCCGTTTCATGTAGAGCCAAAACCTCGCAGGTGGCAAGAGCATGTACATCTGAAGTAGTAAATTGCGATTCCTGTTTCGGATGATTTCATCCACACCGTACTGATAGCTCCAAGAATCAATTTTGATTCGTAGCTGTTGCATACGGCTAGCCTGTTCCCAATCTTTCAACCAAGTCCCAGCACCACGAGCTACGCTATATCAGCAATTGCAACTGAGATGCGCTTTTTTCGTAACTTACCGAAGGCTTTATATATGGCCAGAAAGCTACTGTCATGTTCCACACTGCTCTTCATGTACTGGTGATATGCAGTGAACTTTGCCTCGTGCTTCTCGCCACTGAGCATGGGCGGACTGGGAAATTGAAACCATTGAGATTGTCGCTTTGAGCCCATCTCCTTCATCAGTTGATCCAACTTCCGTAGCTGTACAACTATGGCGTCAGCATCGCAACCAGTGATACCCTTTGGCGCGGTCATGTAGTATTCAAGAGAGCGCAGGAAAGAAGCCTGGCTCCCGAACACGATGCGAGAGCAGTGTGATGAGTTTTCGAGGAGGATTTTGTTGAGTTTGTTGACATGATTTCGCCCCACTGGAAACAGGCTAAAATAGAATTTGTCATCTTTGGTGTAAGAATCATGCTCCCCTTCAACCCGTATTACCTGCCCGTTGACGATCTTTGAATAGCTGTTTCTCGCCTTTCTTATGGGAAGATCTTCCAGTGAAGACTTTGTGTCGACACCAAAAGTATCGTCAACGGAGGTATAGCGCATAGTCTCTCTCAATTCCCGAATTTCCGGGTCACGGTCCTCCTCTGGAACTGGCAAGAGGAAGTGACGCAAGACGATCATTAATCTTGGCGAGACCGGAGCAAATTCGTGAAAGTTGACATCAGCTACCCCATGGACCTCCCCAGACTGTATATCCCGTGCAAAGTGGTTGGGCCCTTCGAAAACATTGTAGCTGTTATCGGTAAGTATGAACTCGTCATCAGGATTTGACGGTGTGCAAATAGCCATGTACATCCCTTGAACATGCATGATAAGCCAATTAGCATCATGTGAGTACATCTGTTGTTTAATCTTGTCCATCCACTCTCTTTCCGGATCCATCTCTAGCGTCATGATTGTTTTGAGACTCTCGAGCCACACCTGAATAGGGCGTGTAAAGCCATGATCTCGCATGTACTGTCTGAACATGACTTTATCGTTGGCCCAGTAGTCCTCAACTGCTTCGTGGTAGAATCTTTTATGGAACATGGACCCACGAAATTTCAGAAGAAAGAGAAATTTGCGGATGAGATCTCTTTCTGATCTTGGGAGACATACGACTTTGTCGCCGTCTTCCAAGGCCTTAGTGATTTTTCGGAAAACTCTCTGAGCTTGGTTCTCCATCTTGCTGAACATTTCTTCTACCTCATGCTGCTCCTTTTTAGTGGCGCCATTCTTGTCCCTGTACATGTCTGTCAATCCGAGAATTCGCTTGACCGGACTCTCGTCAATGACATAAGGTGTTTGAAGCAGGTTAACGTTATTGACAACCTTGTCGCCAGGGTATCTTTTCAATTTTCCGCTGTCGAGACTAGGGCGATTCTTCTGTTTCTTCTTCTTCTTTCTACTTTCTCCTGATGCTTTAGACTCGGTACAGTCCTTGGGCTCGAAGTCGTGAGCAAAATTTCTCAATAGAAATTGAGGAACGAAATGATGATACTGAGACGCGTTGTCTCCTGCTAGGTCGATGGTCGCCATCTAAAGGGCTCGACAGGATAGCAATAGATAAACTAGAGGGTTCTCAAGTGCAATAACGTCTGTCCAAAACTGATGGATCAAGATGGTCAAAGCTGAGATGTTGGCAACGATCAAAACCTGCGTATCTTGTAATCAGGCTGTGGAATGAGGCCTCCTCGGCTCCCGTTTCTGCATTGGTGCCTGACAGCCCAATTGGGGCCTACAATCGTATGTGTAGGCTTCCCCTTTCCGCCAATGAGAGGTGCATACCAGGGTACGTCATTTTAGTGGAAGGTATTCGCTTGAAACACCGTGCAGCAAGCTTGGCCGATAAAACCCCGCAGAACCGCCTTGTTTTTCGTCCCTGCACTCCTTTTCTATCATTTTCCTTCTTCATCCCTTTTCTTCAGCATGCTTCAATTGGAGGTTGTCTCTGTACAGCTTTAACCTTCGTGCCTGGAAGCATAGTCAACTGTCAATCATTGTAACACTGCTTCCAGGCACAACCAATATTCCATGCCTTTGAGATTGGAAACCTATCATGTTATCCACAAGCCTTTTTTCAACAAAACATCGGTAAGGTTTTGCTTGTCGTTCCTACCCACGAAGTAATCACTAATGTGACCGTGCTATGTAGAACCCTATGCAAAGGACTACTAGATTGTGAGCATCGCGGATATCTCAAGTTTTCAGTTTTGGGTTACAAAGAGGTGGTTCTTGCATCATGTCATCGACAGTCCAAGAGGGTAGCACTTTGCTACGGAACCTCATTGGCTCTTCCGATGCCTTTATACACCTTCTGTTTGGGATCCGAAACTGAATTCGAGAGATGTTTAGCAATACGTCGCGTCGGTCTTCGCGGGAGAGTGAGGAAAGAGAATTATATTTCAATGCAATGAATATCGACTCAGCAGGTACGTGTCGTGACTCAGCGAGAGCGCGACTTGATGGAGAACTTCCTCACTGACTCAAGCTTTGGATTCAATAGATTGAGGACCCGGATTATGTCATTAAAAGGTGTCCAATCACTCGTCCAGTTACCAATACGACTGTCGAGGATTACTTGAAATTATTTTGCAGCCCCAACAGCTTCCACAATTCTACGCAACGCTACCACCCAACTTACTTACAACCTCTACCTCAACCGCAGAAGGCGGTCTACCATAAGTACGAATTTCAATAAGCTCTCGAATTAAGGGCTAGCAAGTCTATACTCACAATGGACGCTGAGTGGCTGTACAACCTGCTCAACGAGGATATGTTGCTAAGTATGGACCTGAATGATCCTTTTGGGTCTATACCTCCTGAGATGGACCTCTCCCTCTTTAACTCATACCAACCAGCAGACGACACGGCATTGACTATGGGAGATCCACTATTGGGTCTCGCTATGGCATGCGATGAGTACCCACCTGATGGAGCATACCCTGACTTTCTAGCCGACGTAACGAGCCGAACAGATAACAGTTCTTTCCCAAACACAGACTGTCCGACTACCTTTGATGAGCTGATTGTATCTGATGTGCTTGGTTCGTCACAAAATAGCATGGATCATGTAACATTTTCAAGTCGCTCATCGCTATCACCTGGCTTCGAGAGCACTATCATTTCCCCTTGCATCACACGATCCCTCGCCCTATGGCACTCGCCAGAGCTGAATGACATGCGGAACAATATATCTTCTTCCAGTTCTGCCCATCAATATTCACCTTTATCTTCTGCAACACTTTCAACATCCTCTCCATCAATCCCTATAAACGAATCATCACTGGCGCAAAAGGGAAAGGCTACTAGGGGGAAGAAGTCACCGCTTCGAACTCTGAGGTATATTTTAGAAGCCATCATAGGAACAAAGGCTAACCTGTTTTTACTTCAGTCGCGATCTTCGCCACATTTTGAGGCCCGAAGTGTGCCACTTGTGTTTCAAGGGACATCCATACACACGAGAGTTGGAAGAGCATATAAAGGTTCACCATCCGGCGGAAGCTTCCAGGTTGGGAATTGATATGACTCGTCCAGTATGCGACGCCTGTGGAAAGACATTTTCTCGCCCGTGCAACTTGAGAAGGCATATGGATCATAGTTGCAAGGGCTTGACGGGTAAAAGCGTAAACACAAGAGTAAAATACATAAAGAAGCTAAGCTAATATGTCTATTTTCCCTTTTTATGTATTTACAGCAATTCTTTTACTTGGTAGTTTTATGGATAAATTAATTAGTCTAATTCTATCTTATTTTAACTGACATAGTAATAGCAGGGTTTAACATATTTTAGAGTAAAGTATTATATATTAAAAATCAAAGTAATAATTTGAGCAGGAGTTATATAAAATAATTTATTACTTTTTGAACTATAAAATAAAGATGCAATAATTTAATATAAAATTAAATATTTATATTATAGTATTTGTCGTCAGGAACGAGCAGCAGTTCATCCTTCAGGCAGGTCAAGCCCATGGAATCACGGTTGGAGATGCGTTCCATCTTGTATCCTTTAAGCGTGATTGAACAAAACGAAGGATATCACAATAACTTGATAAAAGCAACAGTGAGAAGAAATGGTCTACTCACAAGTTTGCTACTCCTTGATGATGCGATGGTTACAATAGCGCAGAGTGATTGGGTTGCTAAGCCGCAAATAAGACAATCCAAGAGGGAACCATCATTTAGATTTTCAAGACCACAGCCAAGATTCTTTATCCTATATAACTCTTTCCAGAAGCTTAGCCCTTGGAAAACATGAAGGCATATTTTTTTTAATAATTAGATCTATATGCCTGTTGTAGCTGCTTGCTAAACTCAAGAAACAATATCGTCACCGCTAGACCTTGACGATTTCCTCTTATGGATTAGTGTAGGTTTTAGAGGGCGTGACGATTCCCTAATTTGGCTAGCGCAGAAAAGCTGTCCCATATTATCACGAGGTTCGTGTGACTGGATATGAAACGCCTCGTACTTTGCGGTCGTGCATCTTATTGCGGCCGGGACGTCGTTCCTAGCGACATAAACTTAAATAAATATGCACGAACATACGACTGCTCAGTTTGTTTTATTTTTCAGATACTTCTTATTAGCGGACTGGTGCCATCACTGATCTCGGTGAAACTAGTCGTTTGACATTAGCTGACGAGAATTGTCCAAGTATTTCTACATCCCTATTATGAGTTCCAATTTCAGTAAAAGAGAAAGTTCTCGTTCATGCCCTTGTAAGTCCTCTTTTACCGAAAAGTGATATGGTATCGACCTCCCAGCTGACTTTTTAATTGAGTGTGGATGATACCCCTTCTTATTGGTGGGCGCAGGTTTCGCGACCGCATCGTAGAAATATGGAAAGGGGTCTATTAACCCTTCTTGTTGTCTGCTATACACTCTTGCCATAGAATATTAACTATTCCGGCGACCCCGACTGTCTTCAGATATATGGCCTTCAGAACTCCGTGGCCAGTAGCCTGATGATTATAATGTCGAACAGAATGAAATAACCCTAGTAACTAATGACCAAATCAACTCTAGTAGAGTTGGTTTTATTGACCCACTTCGGACCTAGTTGGGTTGATTATTGCCAGGGTGTAGAGTTGATTTGACATTGTTTAATATACGAGAATAGTAGTGCCGATCGGAACAGGGGCTTACTATAGAACCCTGGCGACGCTTAGAGATTAGCACAGCACATAAATCGTCTTATCCCATGCATTTGCTTGAACATCCTTCCAGAACGACAGTACAAGCCATAAATAGTATATAACCAAGACACTGAGCCTTGAGTCGCTTGGTTTTCGGAAATTCCTTGGAGCCGCGACTGGCTAACGCTCCAGACCCATGACGCAATGGATTCAAAATGGCCGAAGAACCCCGCTTTCGTATTACTTCAATTTGTCACGAGTATTACCTGTTAACACAACCCGTCTACATTCAGTTTTAAACTTATTTTTCGAATGTCCAAACCTTGTATCACTCATTTTATGATAGGCATGCCAAAATATAAGGCCAACACTGTGTGGTGGGACAGCTCTTCTATGTACATCCGCTGCCCACACTGCGACAAGATCCATCGACATGGTTTTGATGGGAACTACCACGCTAAACATCGCCGCGTACCCCATTGCGAGTCCTGTGAGACTTACACGATTTGTTTCCCTTCCGATGGTCTCTATGAAATCGACAGGAGCAGGGGTTTGTACGTGCGTGCAGGAGCCGACCCCGCCGCGTACTTTGCGCAGTTCGAGCCTGCACCTAAGGTGGACGTAAGTGACCGACGCAAGTGGACTGAGGCACAGGAGGAAGCCGAGCTAGGCGGCCTCGACCTTGAACCTATTCGCGTCAACAGACTGAAATTAACTGTCTCCGAGATGATTACAGGTGGATTAGAGACAGTTCGCTCCTATCTTGAAACATCTCAGGAGAAGGACATTTTTCTCCATGGCGTGCAGGCTTTCACTTATCGTCATCCCACTATTGACGATGGTGATGCTAGTCAGAACATTCTCAAAGACGACCCGGATGGAAACCACGAGACCACTCGAACAGAGAAAGAGAGAACCATAACGTCCGGGGAAACTGCACTACATATGGCTGCTTGTGAGATGTATCCAGAAATGGTCAAATTGCTCCTTGACTTTGGTGCTGATCCGAATGTGAGAACGGTTGACGGACGAACGCCGCTAATGGAAGCTGCGATCTGGGGACGCTTGGAAAATGTGAAGTGCTTGCTTTCCCACGGAGCTGATAAGTCCATTACATGCATGCGAGAAGGGAAATCGTTACGCGCTATCGACTTTGCTGCAGATACTTGGGGGAATAGCGAAGAACGATACGACCGGTCTGGCGGCAAGGATCAGGTTTATAAGGAGGTGACGCACAAAAGAAATCAGGACCGTATGGCAATCGTTCGGGAGCTCTCTGATGAGGCTGGAGAGGTAGAAAGTCGGAACACAGAGACCTTGTCACATCTCAACGGGTTCGCCCTTACAACCTTACGTGATGGGGGGAGTATCATTTCTTTACTTGCCAACTTTGACGTACCCAACAGACATAAGACCATTGGCATCCTCTTCAGAGGTGATACCATTGGCGGGCCTGGTTTCCCGCCCGTGGCTGCGATGAGTGGTTGGAAGCACCAGTCAGACCCGGAACTTAATGTTCAGATTGAGGGAAGAACATGGACAGATGAGGTCCTTCGCCTCTGTCGAATCGTTGGCCACCACCTACCTGCGGATGAAAAAGATCAAGGCAGACCCGGGCAGTTTAAGGCATGCCACGCAGAGAAGCAATTGACGGCTTACTTTGTAAGCAAACATGTATTTCTTCCCCAAGATTTGGCTGTGGATGACTTTGGAATGTCAAGCTTATCTCTTGATACGTCGCAAAGTGACTGCGAGCACCAAGATACGCTTAACGAGCTTCAAAAAGTACAACCCCCTGAGAGACTTCAGAAAGGGATAATTCTTGCTTCTCGTGCGGTATGTCAGGACTGTAATGACTTTATCGAGAAAGTCAATATGGCGCTTGGATTAATGATAGAGTTTCGTGGAGTCAAGCAGTACTCTTGAAGTGGTGAGGATATAGCCAAACTCAAGCAAGAAACCTAGTACCGCAGGCCAAAATCAACTGTCGTACAATTAATTTAATTGACTCCACTTTATAAGGGACAGACTTGAATTTGTAAAATCCTAGTACTACAGTCCCAAATCAACTCTAGTAGAGTTGATTTTATTGACCCACTATAAACCACGTAGGGTTGATTATGGCCAGGGTGTAGAGTTGATTTGACATTGCTCCACATATAGGAATAGTATTGCTGATCAGAACAGGGGTTTATCCAGAGCGCGACGCGTCCTTTCGCGTAAAGTGCTATAGGGAGGGTAAATCATACTACTAGATGGTCTCGTTGTTGATTGAAATACAATCGTCATTCACATCTCACCCTGACAATTATTGTTTGCGTCGACAGCCTACTCAAGAATTATCAGCAGAAACGCATTGCGTTTCCTATTTTTAACCAATCACCGTCTAGCATTTTCGCCCCATATTTTCCCCGATGGAAACGCATTGCGTTTCTCGTACCGCACTCATAAAATTAGAAAACCTAAAACACGAAACGCGTCGCGTTCCCGTCGGCTGACCCTTGTCAAGTTTAACAGCTTGACTGCAGACCTAAACAACAACATTCATTACCATTGTATATTGAAACTCACGTGTTTATCATCTTCGTATAGTATCTACCCTATCTCCGCCATTCCATCCTGTCTATCATATTTACATATGTTTAGTCATAATGGCCAGTACCTCAATTCATAGGCAACATAGCCATTCTACTTTACCCCCCGGCAACACTGCAGAAGCTTGAAAGGCTTAGCCTTTATTTCAATTTGCCGGAAGCAGCTATTATATGTACAAAATGCGGTTTTGCTTTGAGTCCTAAACGTGCATCGGAGCATCCGGGCAAAAAGCACGGCATTACCAGATCTGCTCGGCATGGCCTCAAGCCCCTCCTATACTCATTGAACCTCCCAGATCCAGACATCTTGGCCCCCAGACTTAATGGATCACAACCTCACCCATACCTTACAGTACAAGAAGGCTCATCTTGTAAGTACTGCGGTCTCCACTCTGCTAGTGGGAAGGTTCTGAGGGACCACTTCTTCAGCCTAAACACCGCGACAAGCTTATCATAGCCCAAAAATAAAACCGACGAGGCTGGCTTCGAGACCACATTTAGTCAGGTTTTCTATTCCAGAACTGAACAGCGAAAAGAAAGTAACTGCAGAAGACGCCGACGAAGGAACGGAAGAGACAATCCCAGTCGCTGTGACATGGCTCGCCGAAAGTTATGGAACCGTTACCATCCAATCACCGAGGCCACCGGCACAGTGACGTCTGCTAATGACGAAATCAAATATCATTCGCCCTACTAGTGCTTTCTAAATAAATATTATGATTCAAGTTCCTAAAAGAAAGCTAGTGATTGAGATATAAAGAGGAATGGCGCAATTGAATGGCTTCCTTCATCAGATTGGAATGGCACCATCGGACAAATACACCTATGGCCAAGCGAAAGAGACAGTGGCACGATTTCTCTTCCGCTGTGCAGATTAGACGTCATATCGCACACAAATGCTTCGGTATACCGATACGAGACGAAGGTACGTATCATCCTATCTTGGAGGCAAGACAACATCAGAACCCCACAACTGGGCGCCAGACATGGAGGTTGTTCAAGCAACTGAAAGATACGCTATAGCTACTGACTATCTGCACTGCCACTGTTGTCAGAGTCATCCTCAGTAGCAAACTCAACTTGAAACCCATAAGCGTTGCGCACGACTCCAAGCACCAATTCCCCTGCCCCACCTTCAATCATGACATTGAGCACCTTGGCAGCAGCCCGCATCAAAAACTCCCCCCTTCTCTCTTGGTCATCGCTTGCAGCCATGAATATGTAACCCACAACAAACGGTAGTTCGATCTCTTTCTCGATGTAAGAGGTAGTGTACAGCTGCTTCAAGGTGAAATCACAGGCCTCTTTGACATGACGCAAGAACTTCCAACACCACCTATGCATGAGCAAGTATGGAAATGAAAACTCCAAGGTTTCTGCTCCCAAGGCCAAAACCAGAGACCTCAAAAGCTCGCCTGGAGGCCACTGGGCTTCTCCAGTCATCTTCTTACGCTGTTTGGGCTGACGCTTCTTCCTCAGCTCGTCTCGGTCATCGATTAGAGTAAGCATGAGAGTGTTGTTTTTCTCTGATCCTTCTTCCTGGAACCTACTGCGCGAGATGATCTGGTCAACATGCTCGGGCGACAGGTCAATCTGACCTAATCCTCTTACATATCTTTCAACAAACATACATGATACTGGGGCACCGTCCTTAATGCCATGTGGCCCGCCACGAGAGGCCAGGTCGTGGTGTCTCCCAGGCCGCCGCAGTAGTCCGCTTCCACCAACAGCGAAAGTTGAAGCAGAGTAGCCCATTTGCAGAAGAAAGTGTTTTAGGTAGCCGTACCTATTTTCCGGTCGTTCACCAACGAATAAGTTGGAGTCTCCTAGCAACGTTTGGACAGCATCCATATCTGTCCAATGTCCGTTGAGAAGGCCTTCATTTCGAAGGGCATTGTACAGATGTGCAGGGTACGTGATTGAGCCCCAGGCGTTCGTGATGGCAATACCAAAATTATACATCTTAGCTCGAAAGTGGTATAGCACAAGCCCGCAGAGTATAGGCGAGTGGGCGAGTATACGATGTCTTTCAGATTCCATGGCTAGGCTTCCAGCCCTCTGCGAGATTCTTTGCTTGGCAAGAAAGACTGGATCCTGAACGAACCATTTCAAGGAGTGTTTAAACTCGCGGAGAGCGCGCTCATTCGAAGCAGGCCAGTTTTCGATTTTCAAATTCTCGTGAAACTCGATATGGCTGCTAAGCTCATCGTCCATCACAGTGGTGTGCTTGAGTAGGCTGTCTAGTGCATTGGATGCGCGATCTCTGATGATGTGATGAACGTCTAAGAGGATTTGGGTAGCGTATACAAGGTGAAACGGTATGTTTCCAGTCGTGTCTAACTCCCGGATTCCTCGAATGAACTCGTCCTCAACTGGGTAGTTAGGAACGAGACGAGCGAGCGTGACGGCCTCGGTGAAGAATTCGGATAGGATGATCTGATCCTCCTTGAATTTTGCTTGACCTTTCTTGGACGTTCGATCACTCTGGGGATCGTACATTCCGAACATGCCTTCTTTGTAGATCGGCAAATGGTTTGGAGGTAGAACCCTAGCCAAACCATCAAGCAATAGACAGGCATTTAGGTAGGTTTTGTCCGCAACCTCATAAATATCTTCGTTTTTACCAGCTGGGCCCCATGAAAGAATATCATCCTCTGAGAATCCATCCCGCCTGGCACAGATAAAGGAGAACTTCTCCAAAATAGTGCAGGCACCACCATGGTCCTTGAAAATTGGTAGGACTTGGTCAATAAGATTGCGTGCCAGATTAATCCCAGTATTCGTGGCAACAGCAGCGTTGGCGAGGTCAAAATATCCGTCTCGGTAATTGGACCAAATCCATTCGATGTAGGACCTAATCTGGTTGAGATCGTTCACCATGATTGTGTACGCTACTAAAGCATCTTCAAGCGATGTCTGAGGTTCGGCCTCGTAAATGGTGTCATCTCCTTGTGCGTTCTTGGGACGCTCGATATCAGGGACATCTAGCAACTCTGGGGAGGATTCGTAGACTTTGAGACCACTGAAACGATTACCCAAGTCTTCAAAGGATTGAAAAGATTTAGTTCCAGCAGGCATACGAGGCCTGAGGACATCTCTAACCCTTTCCAGAATCCCAACGAAGAAGGAATGAGTGGAATCCGATTTGGTACTTGGCTTCATCCCATGGTCGATCAGTTGAGCGCCAAACTTGGCCCGCACATATATGACTCGGTCGAGAGTTTCGGCGAAGGACGGAGGGACTGAGATAAGTGGTTTCGAAGCGAAAATGAATTCAGCCAGAGGGATAAAGTCCTTGACAGCAATGACGTACTTCGGAATAGTGTGTAGAGGAGTTGGAACGTAGGTATTCTGCTTCTTGGCATCCCTTCTGGCCTTTCCTTTTAAGCGGCCTGTTCCCTTTGTCTGGATGCCGGTAGGTGTGAGTAAATCTGAAGGGTATCCGCAGGCCTTTGCTGTCGAAGCAAGCCAAGAAGCCACTGAGTCGGTGTCTTCCTTGTATTGCTGGTAGATGCTAAATAGGGAGCTGGGCAGCATCTTGACTTGGTGTCATGGCCCTAAGTTTGTTTGTTGTTCCGATCCCGCTTACCCCGCTTAGAGCTTAGGGGATAATGCAAGCTTGAGTAGGCGATTATCGACTTAATCCTGTGGGAGAAAGCAAATGAACTCACTGACTAACAAAATGTTACCGTACAGTCAGATTTTGGGAAAGACTGAGAGGGCTAGAATGGACAGGGAGACGCAATGAACTTTGGAGAGTGTAAGTCAGGTGATACCGGATGTGTTGTGTCTTATCTCGACTGTTGGTTCCCGGTTGTCGTACACGCGCCATCCGATTGGAGTTAATGTTCTCGAGATGGCATGACGTGGTCAGATATGCTTGGCTGATCATAGTCTGTGTGCGGACCAGCTATTTTTACTGCAGCTCACTTAGGCGCTTGCACCCCGATTCTGATTGGAGCCCTACTCAAGAATGTAGACCAGAAATGCGCGGCATTTCCACTTCTGCACCAATCAGAATCCTCATCTTTTTACCCCAAATTCCCATATATATATATAGGACATGCGAATCGGGCTCCCCCCAGGCTTGGGTCCTTGGTGGTCTTAGTGGAATTCGCGCGGGCAGTCGACAGAGGCATTTTATTTTGTCAAAATTCAGCCACAATGCTGCATCTAGCGATATGTATATACACCAAAAGAGAATAAAGCAATTAATTGATCAATCTCCGTAGAGCCATTTTTTGTTCGTCGTTGGCTAAAAAAACACGGGAAAAGAAAGCATCTAACTCGGTGTCGAGACGAATGCATGGTCTGAGCTCAGAGGCTGCTTACGAAATATCGTTACACCCTGGTCGCTTGGTCTAGAGCTCAAACCAATGAAAGGAGGGCTTGAACCGGACGGTATCCTTTTTGACCCCACAGCTTTTTCTGAAACAGCTAGCTGTACTGAGTATAAACAGGGGCAGGTCGATACGCTGATCGTCTATCATGGCTTGGGCCGGACGGTATCCTGGTAGGCTCCATAACGATATCCTAAACAAGGTAAGTTTCGTTTTGCCCATAGAACTGGTGTCAGACATTACGTGTATTCGGTTCATTGATGTGAATTGGTGTATTCATGTTGTGTTCTGTTGAACTCTGCCCCTGAGAGGTTTTACCATTTCGGCTGTAATCTTAAAGTATCCCTGCTTGCACGTGAGACCCAGCACCTGTTCAATAGTATGAAGTGTATATAGGAACGAGCATGCTTAGATGTCCGGGGATCACAGCTACATAAAATCCACTCAGCGCAAAGTATGTAGAGCGAGGAAAATAGGCCTTTGAATATGCCTGGAAAAAGGCTGTGCACTTTTCTATTTACATTTCCACCTACGCGCGCGCGTTTCCAAGAGTCCACCTGGCCCAAAAATTCAGCCAACGACATGGCGAGCAAGTATTGGTTCTGCAACGGCCGAAGAAAACATCAGTGTGTCACAACCTTGCTGATAATAAATGCGTGATAGGTCAGGCCCCAGTTTTAGCCTCAGTGCGCAACCATTACGCTGCAACCAACACAGCAATCACCAACTGAAACTACGCCCTCTCACAGCGCATTAAATACATTTGGGTGTGAGGAACTGGTCATAACCAACAAATCAGCTTTTTCTACATAAGCTCGCATTGCCCTTCACATATTACCCACGATTGACAAAAGAAAAAAAAAAAAGACTAGACTTTTTTGGCCCATTCCCCCTCCTTTTAATTGAAATCAGCCCAATCTTTAAGGCTAAGTCTTACCTTATGGGGTCAAGAAGTCAAAGTGGACAAATCCCACTTGTCTTCAACGAACCACTCGCATCACCTTGACTCGGGCAAAGTACTTTCCAACTCTGTTTTATCAACCCAAGAACCTTCTGCTCTTTTTTCACTTACCATGTCTTCACTATTAACTCCTGGATTGGCTTATGGGGCTAATGATGTCGAGCTTCGCTACCTTGCAAAGGAAATGTACCCTCACCTGCCTTATGAGGAAGCTCTTCTGAAAATATGTCAGGATACATTTGTCAGGTTTCCTAGCGATTTTATTTCCAGAATCGCTAGGGGTGCCATTAATGATCCTGTTGTTTTTATTGAAGGGGTAGGTGATATTCTTAGCAGCCCGTTCAAAAAGATCATCGCAGCGGCCCGGTTTTATAGCCTGTACAAGAACGGCGCTCCAACTACCAAAAAGAGCATTGCTTCTGCGGCTCAACCAAGTGTATTAGTTGAAGCCTTGAATATCGAAACGTTTGCTTTGACTGTTCGGAAAAGCGTTTCGCCTACTATTCAACCGAGTGTATCAACAGGAGCCTTAAATATCAAACAACTGCGAAGTCTCCTCCCACCTATGACAGAGTCTATCTCGGACGCCACGGATAAGGTTTCCAGAGAAATTCACGGCATTCACGTCATTGGAAAATCACTTGTGGACCATCTTAACTACTACGGCAGATGGATGCAAACGGTGTCCTGTATACAGATTGCACAAGCAGAGCGAGCTATAGAAGCTCTTAATATCATCTGCAATCATCTTGGCGACGCCAACACCATCACTGTATCGGGCGCCTCTGGCCCGGATGGATTTGCGAGGCCAGTTTACGACTTCATCTTGAAGAGCATATCGGATATCGATCCCAGAGAGCGGCATATGCATCGATTCTTTGTCTTTCATCCTGACACCAACTGGTACGGCGCATTTCATCGATTGCTGGGGAAAAATCGTCTGCCCGCCGAATTTTGCGCCAAGGCCGACAATCTGGACACAATTTGTCGTTTCATGCAGGATATCAGAAAAACATTGATTGAGGAGTCAAGTGCTGGGCGGAAGGTGGTATTTCATCTTCTGATCCCTTCATGGTACACCATACATATCAGAGAACCATTGCACTTCCCAGCCAGTCTGCACCCGTTGCGAGTGAAGGGAGAAAAGCACAAGGGCAAAGAACTTGTGGAGATGAATCTCCCAGCAGCACCTGCCAACATGCTGAACGGCGTCGCAAATGTACTTGATCCCAAGTACTCCAACAGAATTGCGAAAGCCACTAGTCTCGCTGTAACATTGCCTGCCGTGGGATGGGGCGTCAATGGCGCCTGTCTAGCTTTGGGTATTGGTTTGGGAACTCTAACGGGGCTTGGTGCTTTAGTCACCGTTCCAGTCTGGATCGGAACAGCCATGCCTGCCATGTCCGTTACAGCACCCGTTATGCTTGACACCATTCACAGTACTCTCCGTGAGGGACCAGCTCGAATTCTAGGTTCGAAGGATATCTTGGGTAGGAATGAATGAGGAGTAGATACCTACCAAGTATTCTAGTCGGTAACGGGGCCCGTTACCAATTTTAGGCCAATCAAAACTATGGGAACTAACATGGATTTTCAGAACCCGTAACGAGCCCCGTTTCTGTCCAGCTCGTGTTTACCAGATCGCGAAACGGGGCCGGTTACATGGCATGGTGATCCGTGCCACCCATGCTGAAACCATTGTTACGAGGCAAAGCACCAATCACAGGCAGACTCTGGAATTAGCTGACCTTAATCATAACCCTTTCTAGACTGCTGCGTCTCCTTTCTTCTACTGATAATCTCTGCATTCACATCCATCCTAGAAAACCTTTAAGTGTCCTAACGTCTTAGCATATCTTTCCAGGCATCCTCTAGAAGCCTACTTCACCAGCAAAATATTACGCCCAGCCAAGTACAGACGCTTAGGAGACTGGAGCTTTATTATGATATCTCACACCAAGCTATCATTTGCATGCCTTGTGGTTTTGCCTTGAAGACAGACGATGATCGCGTCGGATGTCACCTCAAAGAGAAACATGGCATATCCAAAAAGCATCGACAAAAGCGCAATCTACTTGTCATTTCCCTGCAATTTCCTGATTCAGATGAGCTACCAAAGCAAGCAGATAGGTCCGCTCCGCACCTATACCTAGCCCTTCAATATAGAACGGAGTGTAAGTATTGTGAGTTGCCGTCTGCAAGCCACGATATCCTATCTCGGCATCTGAAAAATCACATAACCGGGAGATCAACGCTACGTGTACGATGGGAAAGCGATGGCTACGCGATGACGTCCGGGGTAATTTGATCTTTCAGAGTTGGAAAGCTAATGACATCCAGCGATCCTGGCTCATCGTAAGCACAGATGATCAGCAATCATTGCGGAATGCATCGCAAACTATCAACCAGTTTCTGCAAGCAGTTCCAGATTTTGTCAGAGAGTTTACCCAGAAACTGGTTTCGGACGAGCGACCGGTTGCATAAGCAAAGATCCTCATTTGATACTAGCGCGCCTGCGGGAAAGAAAGAGCTATTGACTAACTGGATGCGATGCACTCGCCGGGATGAAACTCTGGATCAAGCACGACGTGATATGCTTGTAGCACTTTCGGAGATGCCCTTAACGACCGGTCAGCCCTGAGACCATTGTTTGCGTCGACGGCCTACTACAATGGTTGCTGCGAACAATGCGACGCAATGCACATATTCTGATCCGTGCACGCTAGACGTCTATCTCGAATGATCGAGTAACACCGAGCCACCCAAACCTCATCGTCACTTCCAAACACCAAGGATATGAAGCACTTGCGGTCCTCATAGAGCTCCTCCATGGACCTGAGCTGCATCTCTGTTGTTTGCGGCGTCCGACGACAGTTACCAGTGTTCTTCTTGTATTCCACCCACCCAAACTTCAGCAACCCATGATTGTTGAAACCTATGTTCTCTACAGCGTGATAAATATAAGAGAAAACGGTCAGCCGGTTCATTCTGGCTTGCCCCACACTGGCTCTACTTACCAATCTCTCGCGTCATCTTAGCGACGGATAACACTTTCTCATCAGTATCCTCCCATAGAAATGCTTCTTTCATCTTGAACCAGAGTATTCGTATAACCATCGTTGCCGCCAGTATATCTGATTCCTTCCTTTTCCTGGCCGGATAGAATTCGCTTCCCCGCTCGTCGATGTGCGGCGTCACCGTGCAAGCACCGAATGTCAATGCCAGTAGAAGCATCATATCACATAGCGGATCACCCAAGCAGTCGATCAAACAGCTGTAGGTCTGATTCAGGTGTCGGACCGCCATCGGATCTGTCTTGGTGTAATTGTTCTCTAGTTTGCCGAACCCTTCCTGGATCATCTGGGGCATTTCTTAAGGGTACCTCGCAACCTAGATCGATCCTTCTCTTCCTGTCAATCTTCTATCGCTAAGAAACACAATAACCCAATATCACAGTTGAAGTGAATACAAATATCGGCCACCTTTTCAATGCTTCTTCTTAAGAGCAGCCCAGTGGCTTGCTAAGTGGTTGGAGAAATGACTAGGGCGCTTATAGAGCTTCCTCTTAGACTCGATACAGAAAGGACATACGTATTTGCCAGGCTGTATCCGTAGCCCATCGGTTCCAAGACTGAGGTTGTTATCATGCTGATACTTTTCTAAACATGCGATCAGATCCTCAGGAAGTTTCTTGTACCAGGCACCCTTTGGGCGAGTGACTTCGAGCTCGCAGGAAGTCTGTGCATTACATCCATCATGCGAGTCAGATGTTGGTGCTCCAGGGCTGTTTAAGCGACGCTGCTCAGTTGATATGCTGGCAGATGACCCTCGAGTATGGAACGAGTCATCGCTCTGGACCTGAGCGGGAAGAGCAGGTGCATATTGGGCAGTTGATATTTGATTGAACGATTCTTGAACATCTGGCGATTTACTGGCAAGTTTGGTTGTCAATGGTCGAGTACAGAGTGACGGTGATAGTGACGGCGGTGATGCTGCATTGACGGCTAACGGAGACAATCGAGCGGGAAAAGAAGACGGCTGATTATTCAGAGTTGGCGTTTGACCGGGTGGTTCGTGCGACGGAGGACTGTTCACTCCCTGCATAAGCATGGAGCTGATCGGTGGCAATACAATAGTAGTTCTGGAGGCTTCGAAGTTATACGGAGCTCTTATTTGACTTAGACGTGAGTGGTCCGCATTACATGGCGTACCGCCAACGGCGTCCAATGCGTCATTGTTGCTCTGAACCACGCTTGGAGCTTGTTGTGCTTGTTGTCGCTCTTCTGTTGTTGAATTTGCAGCATCGATGATGGGTCGATTGCTGTGAGGACGACCCATCTCGACTTGGGCTTGTTGCTCCAGAGCGCAGAGCAGGGCCGGTTGCGCAGAGTCTGTTGATGAAGCGTATGGGATAGATGAACTTGATGGAAAAGGCTCTGTTGCATAGATTTCTGGCGTTTTAAGTGGATTTGACATTAGGTTCATAGGAAGCAACTCTCTTGAAGGCGGATGCGGTGGGCATATAGCAACGTCAGAGGCTTGCCCTGACACAGATAATCCAAATAACCCAGCTCCCATATTTTTCTCAGGGGTAGCGGTCCTGTTTGCCCTCTCATTGCAATGCGGTCTTAACAAACCAGCGTCCTGACAACCTTCTTGTGTCGTATTTGGAAGTGCGGCAGTGCTTCTAGGCTCAAAGATGTCACAAGTTTCATCAAGCTGTCGTCCCGGCCCATGAGAAGATGTTGCAATGTCTTCCAGGTTCAGTCGATGCTGTTGTCCCTCATCGCTACGAAGATCGGGTAACGATTGTTGTTGAATGGGGGGGTCATGCAGGGCGGCGGGATCCAAGGGTGATACTGGCTGAGTTGCGGGTAGAGAACTGGGTTCCTCTTGATCCTGGTCAGGAGCTGCCATCTGAGGACTGTGATGTTGAAGAGGAACTGTACATAGTAAGCGATCCAGTCCATCAAGGGAGCATATTACCAATTCACCTTTCAGAGGCGTGGGCGGATAGCTGTTTGCCTCTATTGATGACGGTTCTGTCGCGTCAGGTGCCTCAGACTTTGACCTGTCTACTTCTCGTTCTGGCGAACGTCTTTCTGCCCGAGTCTTAAGAAACTTGCGAACCGACCGTATGTGAGGAACAAGTGAGTTCTTGTTGTTCGCATCGAACTGCCTCAAATCTCTTGCAGAGACCCAGCCGACGGCGCTCTTGGCGGGAAAGTCTTGGCCATCAAAGTACATTACGGGGAACTCTCGCTCCATGACCAGAGGCTCGCCGTCGTTAAATCCCTCCGCTCAGGAAAAGCCATCTTGCTTATCGCAGTAGCACCTAGGGAGAACCTCTGCTAAGCCAAGACTTTCTATCGAACCCGAAATGCCGACGCTTTCGAGATCTTGCATCGGAAGTAGGAGTACAGCGAACCAGTCCTTGGACTTTTCCCAAAATGCGAGATAGATGCTGCCGGCATCCGGGTTTGTGATGCCCTCAAAGTCTTCGTCCGTGGTCGATCTCTTGTCGCCATGTCGCCTGTGGCTATGCCGTGTTCCTCTTCGCGAAGACCTCACAGCTGGACAAGAGACAAGAGAATTGCCAAGTTTGGTACGAGGGTCATCTTTCCCAACCTGACGTCGTTTCCTTCCCATGGATTCTGGCGATGTTCTCCTTCGTTTGCACTATGACAGTCAGTAGGCAAGCATGAATATGGGTGATGGATCGCGCGCTTACGCTTACGGGAGTGGTCGTCGGACTTGTGTGCCTGTTTTTGGGCATTCCTTTAGGTACGCATGCCTCTTTGGCGCCGATCGCTTGGAGAGTTGCATCCTGTGGCTGACAAGTAGCAGCCGCATTGTTTGAGTCTTGCCGGTCAGAATTCTCGCTCGAGATGCTTCGTAGATACGACTCTATTTTCGTAGGCCCAATAATTTCCAAGAGTTCGTAGCGGAGCGCGTCTGCAATTTCTTGTAACGCCCGGTTATACGCCTTCTCCTCGTCCTGCACGCCAGCCTCGTATTTTATTTCCAGCTCTTTTAATTGGCCCCCTAACTTCACGATACTGTCTTGGAGGCTTGATTTTCCTGGCGCTGGGGCTAGTTCCAAGCTTGTCCATAATTGAGCGATGCGCCCCCGGATTTCGACCGTCTTCTCTTTGTAAATTTCAGCCGGAGATCTGACGCTTGATAGCTTGAAAGCATATCGAGCAACTACCTCTTCGATCTTTTCAAATTGTTGCAGAAATTCTGTAGGTGCCATTCCGAGGAGCGTGCGAGGACGTAGGTCAGTAAGTGTGGCTGCTGAGTCTTGGGAGTGCAACAACCGTTTGAGGTGATAGCTAGCCGTCCAGCTACGGCTTTACGGTCGCGCTGTGGCGGTGTGTTAGCACAGTAAAATGCAGTCTTGTTTTTACGTAAGATCAACGTAGCGCGCGATCCGGAATGAAGAGGGATGTCGATTGTTATTGTAGAATGTTCAATTAAAAAGCTCGAGACGCGTCAAAATTGAACGCCAACCAACAATCAATGGTCATAAGTCACATGACAACGTTGCTGTTGGCTGTCACACCTCAAAAGGGTCAGCAGAAATAACGCCTAGATTTTGCCTGAGGCAGAAAGGCCGTAACTGCGTCTGATGATATCTCTCTCGAATTCTCAGCCTTTTTTTTCGCCCCTTCTCTTTTTCTTTCTTTTCAGCTCGTTAACCCTGTATACAATACGTTATGCATGGTTTTGTAGGTGAGTAAATTTTAATTGAGCATCCTGTATTCTCAGAAACACTACAGTCTCCAATTTACGCGTGCATTTTATTAGCTGTCGTTGGCCATCACGCTACGGGTTAGGACAGGGAATTGAGGACAGTGTAGATGATTGCTACTTAAACACCTGGTGGACACTACATATGATTGGTGGTAATAGTGGAGTCGACCAACGTACATGACTGGATACCCTCCAGGTAATATCAATTATGTAAGATCTCCCCACAAAATAAAATTAGGCAACCCATCAGCTCGTGATCTTGAATTCTTCATAATTGCCCATCTTCTTAACTTCAGCCAAAAGAATTATGGGTTCTTCTGCACCTCATCACCGACACCAATCATCACTAGAGGGATTCATTGACTTTTCTACTGGCGCAAGTCCTTCGTTCAACCCAGATGAACTTGATAAGGGGGCTGGTGTTCTCCGCCTCGTTATCGAGCACTTCGAGCCCTTGTCGACTGAAAAGCCGTATAACCGACCTAGGCTGGTTCGTCTAACGTACGAACATGCTCGATCAGATCAATCCAAATCCAACTTCTTGCATGCATTCCTTAGGGCAGTAGATATTACGATAGATGGAGTTATCGATCTCGATGATGAAATGGTGGAAGAGGAGATTCGTTTGGCCTTGAACGCCTTTGCAGATTTCCTGGTCGACAACTTCTTCCTTCCACGTAAGTCGTCTTTTTCGCTAGCATTCGACTTCAATATTCATCAGACTCTAGTCAAGGCTGCTGGAAGCAAGACGCCCCAACCATCGCCCGCAGCAAGCTCCCGAATCACGAGCACGCGTCCTATTGTCGGGTCGGTGGAACGAGTGGCGTCACTTAGACGCGACTGCCTAGTTCGTGACCGACATCGTTGCGTAATATCTCGCGATTTCGATATGAAAGAAGCTGAGCGCCGTATTGAAGAGAGCGGATATGACTATGCTTCAGATGATCAAGGACAATTACTCAAAGAACAGGAACCCGGATCATTTGCGGAATTGGAAGTCGCACATATACTTCCTCACTCATTGATGACTACGACAGGAAACCCTGAGCTGGTAGGTAAATTTCCAATTGTACAATTCAAGCTAATATGTGTCCTAGAATAAATCCAAGGAAACGGCATTGGCAATACTTGATATGTTTGATCACGATATCGTGCACCTTATCGAAGGCCCAGATATTGATCGTTCTCGGAACGCTCTCACTCTGAAAATTGATTTACATCGGCAGTTTGGCAACTTCAAAGTTTTCTTTGAGCCTACGAACCAGCCCCATAGCTACCGGATCGATTCAACCCTCCGCCAGCCATTCAGGAACCCTATTTTCCCAGTCAATCGTACTTTCTTTCTCACTCCCGAGCGAACCATCGATCCCCCATCCGCTCGGCTTCTTGCTGTTCACAACGCTATTTGCCAGATTTTACATCTAAGTGCCGCCGGAAATTACATTGACAGCATTCTTCGCGACTTGGACGATGGAGCTGTACAATCTGACGGCTCTACTAATCTAGCGAGTCTGCTTCGGCTGAGGCTAGATTGTTGGTGGGAAAGCGCAGTGGTTGAATAACCAGGCGTCTCTTTACAACTTATATGGCTCCGTATCTAACGACTCCTTACTATTTAATAATGAATAACAAATGGTAGAAAGGATGGAATTTCGGCATATAAAAGTTCGAAGGACTTGATATTAAGGCTCTCGCAAGCAGGCGGTTATCAATTCATAATTAATGACCTATGTAGATAGATTTTCTTTGAACATACATGATAAGCATGTGCACCAAACAAGTATGTGCACCAACAAATCTTAAACTTTAAAATAGAAATGATCACAAAAAGACGAAAAATTGCAGTCAAAAAACACGCCGAAGGGGTCCTGGTTAGGGCTACAAGTGACAAATATTTAGAGCCTTTTGCCTATAGACCTCCAAAATTTTATAAATTGCCAGTAAACTTGCCAATAGGACATGCGAATCGGGCTCCCCCCAGGCTTGGGTCCTTGGTGGTCTTAGTGGAATTCGCGCGGGCAGTCGACAGAGGCATTTTATTTTGTCAAAATTCAACCACAACGATGCATCTAGTGAT